ACACAGAGTTTGATGAGAAGCTGTCTATGAGAGAGCAATACCCGTCCCCAAAACATAGAAGCCCCCTGGATGAAAGCTTCCTGGAGTGTCCCAAGTGTAAAGCAATTTATCCTACAAGCGAGCACCGAGAACTTCTTGCTCACATTGATTACTGCACCAGCTGAATAAGGAAAGCAAACTCCCTTCCTCAACATACATCGGATATTACTGACAAAATCTGCTGCTTTCCTGAGGGGCAGTGGATGTATTTTTACACTCCTTTCTAATGTATTAGAACTATGTGTCAATAATTCGTCTTATTACTCATTGTGTATTGTATGTGCCAGTAAGAATAGGAGACTTTAATTGAGCTAATATTCAGCCAGTAGAGCTTACATTGTAATCTATGACATTTTTACAGGTGGGTAAAAGGTTTTTGAGACACAGTGGTCTCCGGAGATTTAAGAACATGTAATATCTTATGACTGTTAATTGTATCTATTTACTGTTGGTATATATATGTGTGTGGATTTACAATGTGTTTTTTAAAGGAACTACTGACAACTTACGATAATTACTCTGCTTGATCCATTGAAGGGATTCGTCAGATGTTGCAAAAGCGTGGCATTTGGCTTATATATTGCACTGCTATTATATTTTGTTACTGTATATTGAATGTGACTGATAAACATCATTACGTTCTATGAAACTCTTCACTTATTTCGAGGTCATGTTGATGGTTTATTTTGGCAACTCAGAAGTTTGGTAATTTTATTACTTATGATGCACAGCCACCCACCTGTAATGCCAAGATTAGCCATTGCTGACATCGCATTCCTTATAAAAGATTAACTTGAATCTTCCACAGGCTGGTTTTACAATCCTTTTGTGGCTGAATTATGGCAAATTATGAAATACTTTTTATTATTTATACTTTTCATTTGCACTTTTTATTTTAACATAGTTGTAAATGATTCATTTGTTTATCTTTGTTTAATATATTTGATATGCACAAAGTAAAATGTATATCGTGGGAATGTATGAATTCAATAAACTTTTTTTTGGCTCTCAAAAAAGATATATATTTTTTGTCTTTGAGTGAAAAATAAAAGATCATTTTATTAACACATTTCTGGTATTTCTCTGTTTTTACAGAACAGACTGTTAGGGTGGAGCCATAACTTACCAGGATTTTAAATGTGTTTACTTTCACATTTTGTGCGTTTTTGTGAGATGTAAAAAAAACAAATAAATGTAAGATTCACTCCTTTTGTATTTAGCTCTATCCTGGAACTGAACACCTCCACTTTGCTCTTTTTCAATCATGGTTATAATAGTGGAAAACTATATAACAAAATATACAGCGCTGTACAATGGGTGGACCAACAGACACATAATTGTAACCAGATGAGTTGGCCACACTGGAACAGAGGGATTGAGGGCCCTGCTCATTGAGCTTACATGCCAGAGGAAGTTGGTTAAAGTGACACAGGGGTAAGGGTAGGGTAGAAAAGTAGGTTGCTAGAAAATTATTCACTGAGGACTTAATGTGTTATTTATCTTTTATTTTTTGTAGGCCGTTTCAGGAGAGGAATCAGGGTGTGGGGAGGGAAAGCTGTTAACAGTTTAGTTGATATGCTTTTCTGAAGAAGTGAGTATTAAATCTTTTATTTTTTTTAATTTTATTTTTTTAAGGAATTTATACTGGGTGAATGTCTAAAGGAGATGGGAAGTGAGTTCCATAGGAACGATGCAGCCCTAAAGAAGTCTTGAAGGCGAGCATTAGAGGTGGGAGTACACACAGAGGATGTACCAATGGCATAGTGATAAGATCTACAAATGTTGAATCGTCAGAATCCTACCTCCAAGTGACACAGTGGTGTCTCCGCTATTAATATGCAACATGAAATTTACAGATTCTTCATTTGGGGGGACTGTATCAGACACATTCATTGACGCAATGTTGCAAGAGATGGGGGGCCTTTTAACCCCTTAAGGACCAAACTTCTGGAATAAAAGGGAATCATGACATGTCACACATGTCATGTGTCCTTAAGGGATTAAAGGGGATGCTTCTTTCATTATGTCTACTTGTTGGCGATTTCAACAGTCCAATATAAATTTAAACTATGCCTATTTAAGGGTAACCTTGATTTTAAAGGAATACTGTGGCACCATAAGCACTTCAATGGCTTGGGGTGCTGGATACTATGTCACTAAAATTACTCAGTTTCGTAGAGATTCTCAGTCTCTTGTATCCTGGCCTCAAGTGATCAAATGGCAGAGTGAGCACTCTTTGCTAAACTGTTTGGTACAGTGATTGGCTGTGATGCGCAGCCTGAAAAACCCTAGTCATCATAACCACTTTATTCTGTTGAAGTGTTTATGGTGCCTACAATGTTCCTTACTGGATGGACACTTTCACTAACTGAACACCAGGCTAAAGTTGTAATACTATGGAGTTTCAGACTAATCCATGACCGTTTTGCCACAGGCAGGGGGCAGTGTTGTACAGCTTTAATTTAGGTTCTGGTACAGCATTGTAAATATCCAGTATCCGATATATCATAATATTTATTTGTTGGATTGTTTAACTTTATCCTAGTTGTGGCTTACCTCTCCAACATTTATCATGTGCTCATATAAACTTAATGTTAACTGTAAGGTTGTTATGATATAGAATGTTTGTCTGAGAGTTGCTCACTTTGTGTCAATCCACTCAGTTTGACACAAATTGGACAAGCAGTTTGACACAGGACCAGACAAGGGTATCCATAGCCTATGTGACCATAACCACTATCACAGCTTGTCATTTGCCCCTTATAGAAGTATGAAATATGGCAAAAGAAAATTATATTATACATTTGGGAAAAAATGTTCAACTTCCTGGCCAATTCCTTATTTAAAGGGGGCAATCTAAACACCATAACCACTACAGCACCTTGTTCTGGTTATGAAGCTAATAGGCTATGAGCCTCATCTTTGGTCTTGTATCAAACTGTTTGTCTTTTGACACAAAGCAGGGCTTTCCCAGTTACCCACAGCTCAGCCACTCACTCTCCATATTGCTAATGTAGACGTTACACTTCCGCATCTGCGTTCTCACTTTTGTTCATATCTGTATTGCAGTGATAGGCTGAGCATGTCAGCTGGTGGTCTCATCACTGTCCTCATAGTCTGGTCATAATGTATATTGCTAACATGAAATATTACCAATATGGTGAACAAGGCGCTTAACCAAAGGTGTTCCAGGCATAAGGCTCATAGTTCGGTAACCACTAAAGACCTGCTCTTTACAGAAATTCGCATAGTCCTGAGCCATCATTATTACTACCTTACCTTATCTCTATCACATAACATCCCTATTTCAATTTCTACCCACAAGGGAGCACTAATCAAACTCTATTTAAGTTAAATATAAGTAAATATACTTAAGGCTCCACTGAAAAATATAAAAGCAAGTTTCTCACTCCAATACTAACTACTTCTGGATTTAACCCCTTAAGGACCAAACTTCTGGAATAAAAGGGAATCATGACATGTCACGCATGTCATGTGTCCTTAAGGGGTTAAAGAGCAAGGTGTGAAAGCATGTGGTTCAGTGTCTTTTTGGAGGAAAACAATGTTGGGTGGTGGACATAAAATAAGAACCTTCCTTAAAATGACACTCCAGGCACCCAGACCACTTCTGCCCATTGGAGTGGTCTGGGTGCCAACTTCCACTACCCTTAACCCTGCAACTGTAATTATTGCAGTTTTCATAAACTGCAATAATTACCTTGCAGGGATAAGTCCTCCACTAGTGGCTGTCTACTACACAGCCACTAGAGGGCACTTCCTGGTCCATAGCACAGATTTTCTGTGCTATACTGTTGCTGGACGTCCTCACGCTGTGTGAGGACTTCCAGCGTCGCTAAAATCCCCATAGGAATATGGAGAGGTCTAATGCGCATGCGCTGCATTGCCACGCATGCGCATTAGGTCTCCCCAGCCGGCGGGCGGGATGTCTCCCCCGCCGGCTGACGTAATGAAGGGGAGGAGCGGCGACGTGGGACATGTCGCTGCTTCTGGTAAGTGACTGAAGGGGTTTTCACCCCTTCAGCAACCGGGGATGGGAGGTGGGAGGGAGAGGGGACCTGCAGTGCCAGGAAAACGGATTGTTTTCCTGGCAATGGAGAGTCCCTTTAACACAATATATAAAAGTAGCTATTGCCACTGTCATTGCTTTTATTGTTATATATGGGGCAATTTTACATAGTTCCTGTTTCATCTACACGGGTTTATCATAACCCATTTCTAAGAGGACACAAGCAAGGCATTTCATGCAAATTAAGTTTTCCCATCAACCACTACTACATTTATTTGTGTCAGTTTCCCAGTGTTTGCCTTTTCCCTTTAATGTGGGTCCTGTTTATTTGCACGAATTGTGGAAAAGATATAGATTGAAGTGTTTCAGTACAAAAAGAAAAAATTAGAAAAAACTGTGCACATACACCACTTGATATACCATGGGATATAGGAAATGTTGTAGATAACAATGTACAAAATTGAACGTATGTTTCACCATATGTTTTTCCTAAAATGATTGAAAGTTACACAATACCTTTAACATATTCCTCATACCAAACTTTAATTCTGAAGATTATTTTAATTTAGAGCTGTTAAATAATAGGAGTGCCATTTTAAATGGTTAAATGTTACATATAAATGTTAACAGTTTTATAAGAATGTATTTCTCTTCTCCAAACATGGCAAATGACCCAATGCAAATACACATTTTTTTTATTTGATATTAAATGTCAGTTGTTTGCCGGACCAAACACCTTAATCTTTGTTTTAGATGGGTGTATATTTACAAGAGTTACTTCCTTGTTTCAAATTGTAGAGGAAGCTTCTATTTAACAGAGTGTTGAATCTTAACTGATCTTAACTAGAGTTAGCTGCATCAATGTTGTAATGGTCCGGTCCTTTGGTTTCATCAAAAAGAGCCTTGGGTTTCATAGCAAGAAGGCTTTTTTTCTCTTGGATTTTGCGTGATATAGTTCTCTGTCCTCAGTGAAATGGTACTATCATTTTGATGTAAATTTGTGCCTACATCATGGATGGCCAGATTAATCCGAACCGGTCATTCTTTACATTTTTTTCAGACTTTAAGTCCAATAGCAAGGTGGCTGCAACAGTCGTGGAAACTGTAGTTCTATCTTCAGTCTTCGTGTTTTCGCTCTTCACGAATATCTGCGCCATTGTACTGTTGACCAGAAAGAAAAGGCTGGTTACGGCTAACTGTTTTGTGTTGAACCTTTTTTGTGCCGATCTACTCTTCATAAGTATGATTCCTCTAATTCTGGTAATCCGCTGGACAGAAGTGTGGGTCTTAGGGGAGTTCGTCTGCCACATGCACTTTTATATAATTTGCCTGAGTGGATGCGTCACTCTTATATCCCTGTCCGCAGTGAGCCTCGAAAGGATGATCTGCATCATGAAGGTAACGCAAGCTGCAACTTGCAATGTTAAAGTGGTGGTTCTAGGAATATTCAGCATCTGGGGATTTTCAGCCATGACTGCCCTGCCTCTGTGTTTATTCTTCAACGTGGTAAACGTGACAATCAATGGCTCGGTAAGTCTGCTCACACTGCTAATCATTAATAGTTTTTGTTTTTTTTGTTACACCTGGCTGTATATTAATATATCGACCTACAGGTGCAATGATGGAAATCGGAGGAACCGTGGAACATCGAGTCTAGTGGAATGTTGAATAAAAAATGTAACCTGGTAATACATTTAATTGGATATAAGAATAGCATATGTTACCAGTGTTTAATTGATGTCCTCCCTATACAACAAATATGTTGCTTATTTTTTCTAATGGCAAGTTAAAAACATGTACGATTTTTTTCACTAAACCCCAAATTGTATGAACTGAAATCTAGATGGCAACGTTAAGGCTAAAATAGCAGATCCGAGAACAAGTCTCCAATTTAGCTAGAGTCATAGATGGGCTATTTTACCATTCAAATTTCAGTTAGGTAAAATTCAATACAAAAACAAAGTTACTTGCTGAATGCCGACGTTTAGTGAATTAAATCCAAATAGCAAAATTGTGGCCAAAATTGCTGATTTGGAGAAATTCTCCAACTCTGCAATAGTCACAGCGTGGCTAGATTAGCACCAATTCTGCCACTGGGATTTAATTCAGTAAATGTCATCAATGGTTTCACGCCTTAGTAAACTATAAATGGACACTGGAATATTAAAACTAATGGCAGGGGTGCTGCTAGGTGTCTACAGAGATCCTTATATTAAACCTCTTATCATTTACATTTACTGCTTCCATTGAAATACTTATTTTAATAGATGCATATAATTCAGTAGATGTATAAATAGTATAAATTGTTAACCAGAGAAGGTCCACACAGCTGTTGGTGAAGCATCACTGGTCAGTAGTCTGTAGATGCTGCATTTTTTAACGTATAACTATCACTGATGAATTGATAAATGACCGGGAATGTTGTCTTTCAGCTGTGTTGCTACAGCAACCAGGTTAATGGGAATACACTTTATTTTTGTGAAGATGTGTAATTTGGCATCTAGGAGAATGAAAAGATTTGTTATAAAATAGTTCATTCTGGACGTTTAGACTTTGAAATTCCATTTTAGCTAGGTATGTATTTATACAGATATATTACTGTAATTTATGTGCAATCTCCTGGGGGTAATCAGCTACAAATCTATTAAAGTAATGTAAAAGCATTTGTCTTTAAATAAAATTAAAAAAAATAGTTGAGGGCGTTGTTTAGTGTACAATTATCATGCTTACTCTAACACTGCAACAGCAATCCGATTGGCATACGATGCCAAGTATATTGTGATCTTAATCTCTAAGGTGCGGGTTTAATACTAACATTTCCAAATCTTTTACTGGGATAATTACTTTGTATATATGTGAAAGACAAAGAGGGAGCGTTACAGCTGCAATAATTGTTGCTATGGATGGAGATATAAGTATGTTCACAAACCTGATTTAAGCGAAACTATATATGGCTGCCCAAATCTACATATCTCCCATTATTCCAATTTAGAACATTGATATGTAGAAGGATTTATTTAAAGGGGAACTGTTACTGCTCTGGAATTTACACTATTGAAAACATTGAAAGTCACCTATAACTTGTGTTAACTTTTTAACATACACAGGTCAAAATTTATTTGTGGCGTATCTCCCACCTTTGCACTGTGCCAGAGAGAAGAAACAGATTCTGCTAACTCTGGGAGAATGTGTTCCTTGTACGATAAAATCAATGGCTCCAGGTCCGTTCCAAAGGACAAAAAGATCTAAGCTTGATCGTAGAGATAAAAAGCGATTATTTTATTCCACCCAACTTGAACATTGATAAAAAGAAAAAAACAATTAGCATAGAAACAATGTATAGAGAGGAGGAACAGGAGGGAGAGGAGCCAACACATTTTGTGCTGATAATGCAACTCCTCAGGTCTCAGGAAAGGTTAGCGCCGCTCCTTCTTGTGCCCCCTCTGTACAATGTTTTAATGTTAAATGGACTACAACTTATTGAATTTGTTCTGGTGAGTAGAATCATTACCTTCAGGCTTTTTGCTGCAAACACTGTCTTTTCAGAGAAAATGCAGTGTTTACATTACAGCCTAATGATAACTTCACTGGCCTCTCCTCAGATGGCTGTTAGAGATCCTTCCTGGGTCATGGCTGCCTAAAATGCATCCAAGCATTCAGTATCTCCTCCCTCTGCATGCAGGCACTGAACTTTCCTCAGATAGATTCATTGATTCAATTCATCTCTATGAGGAGATGCTGATTGGCTGGGGCTGTGTTTGACTCATGCTGGCTCTGCCCCTGATCTGCCTCATTGTCAGTCTCAGCCAATCCTATGGTGAAGCATTGTGATTGGAACAGGCCACCACTTCTGATGATGTCAGCAGACAGCTTGTTTTTCTGAGGCAAACAGCATGCTTCAGGCTTGAATACAGTAAGATTTTGCTATATTTATGGAGGCATGAGGCGCTCAGGGGGGCTAGATGGTGGTTTTAACCTTATAGGGTCAGGAATACATGTTTGTGTTCCTGACCCTATAGTGATCCTTTAATTTTTTTGAGTCAATGTAAAATTTGGATTGGACCTAAGTCATAGAACTATTTGTGGTTGTAGTAGGTATTGATTAGGTGATAACTCGCCTGGCTGAACTCTCGTAATGGTAAAACCGTATGAATTCCTTTTTTCCCTGTGTACATAATTCTAGCCTTTGACTGTACTCTTTATTTGTGGACGATTTGTTCCCCATATCCAGGAATTCCAAAATAAATTATTTTATTCCTTGTTGAACCGATTAAATGAACGGCAGAAAGTAGAGACAGTTTTAAAGTGCTGTATGGTGCCACACAGGCAATGTGTAATGATAAAGTCACTTTATGTACAGGGGTCACAACGAGTGCTTGCAGCTGTATTGATTTTGGTAACCGAAAAAAGAATCAATTTCCTGTGAATCATTTGAATTCATGGCATTTGAAAATTGGTTTTATACAGTCTGTCCAGCCAGTGCAACGTGTTATGTTAAAAAATATTTTTAAAAAAACAAACATATTGAAAAGAAAGCTATTACTCCCAAAGTCACTTGGCACGGCAAGACTTCTCATGCAATAAACTGAGCGTGAATACCAAACACTACATCATTTTCTGATAGTCACAAACCATATATCTCAACATCATCAGCTGTTAACGCTTTCATATCCAAGGCCTATCCAATTACCAGGCCTAGCAGAACACTGCACTAATAAAATATCTGTAATAAATTGGGTTAAGGTTCATCTCCCGCTCTGAGTATTTTATTACTTGTTTGGTAATAAAATGCATGAATGTGGTTATTTTTTTGTTTTGTTTATATCATTGACAATCCTTTTCACATACTGCATTTGAATCCTTTAATGTTTGCCTATAAAATTCTTTCAAACTACCAGGTCATCCTGTCCCTAAGTCACTTGCTAAATTCTTAGGTAGAACTGGGGCTGTTATACACAAATTCCATTTCTATAATGACGTTATACAGCGGAACATCAAAATGCAGAAACTGTTTTTTAGTTTTTTTAAAGTTAGTTTTTGAAGATAATTTAAATAACATTTCTATTAACATTTCTACCTGCTTTCTTTTTATTTAACCTCTAATATTGGGAGCTGCCAGGACTCTAATAGCACCATAACCACTACAGCCCACTGCTATTTTTAGGGTGTTGCTTGGATTGTTCCTTTAAAGGAGCCTAGGAGACAAAGGAGATAAGACTTAGTGAAAAATTAATTTGGAGATCTTATCTCTTACAAAAGTTCTGCTTTAAGTTGTATCTGAGAGCTGAGAGAGTACATGGGCAGCACAGAGGGTTGCTCCGCCGTTTGAACCTGTTGTTTGACATTTGACAACCAACATGCACAGAATTGATATTAGCTCGCTCTGAACTCTTTTTCCAGGCTGGCTGACGTCACAGTGATGCTGCCAGAGGTGGAGTTACAACTCCGTCCGCAAAGGGTTAAACTCTATGTGTGCATCGTTTCATAGCAAAACACTGTGCATACAAACTCTGAGCACCATAACCACTTCAAATCACTGAAGTGGTCATGGTGCTTGGATTATCCTTTTAGGTTTCTATATGCAGATGTACACTTTGAAGGGAGAAGAGCAAGTTAGTTTATTATGCTCTTATTTTTAATGTGATCTGGGAATTGCCCACCAAACCCAAAATTTAAGCATCGACAACTAAATTTCAAAATTCAGCCACAAACAGCCAAGCTGTGACTAGACTTAGATCATTTTTCCAAATCAGTTATTTTTTTACTTAAATGTTTCAATCTTGTTTTTAAAAACACTACTGTTTTCAAAATACTACAAATAAATCCAGTGGAATGACACCAATGGTTTAATTAGTTTTCACTGCCTTAGCCATATTTTAGAAGGTTCTGTAATGCCGCGGTATGACCCTGACACTTTGATACACACTGACAATTTGATGGGCATCTTTTGAAGTCCTTGACGATACCTGGGGACATATTTCAGAATGAGATCTCTGAACCTTTCACCCAAGTGTGCTATAGCATTCCACAATTTTATTAATTATGGCTTCAATTTGACATTTTTGGATAAGATTTTCAAATGATTTCATGTTTTAAGATAAATGTTTACAATTATTTCATATTTTGACATAAAATATATTAATATTTAGATGTTTTTGCCTATAAATGTTATATATATTTTTGTAATTATTTTTTTTTATTGTTGTGCAGTGAAAAAACATGCAGGCTTGCAACGCCACAATAGCTAAGAATAAACTCTTCAGGAAACAGGATATAACAATTTTATGGCAATGTAAGAAATCAGCACCGTTTTATAGTATACGATAATCATGCTAGGCAGACATGTAAAAAACATTAAATACAGGCTATTAGTCTAAAACTTGAGGAGAACTCACCAAGTGATATTGCTTTCTGACCTGAAAGATCAACATGGGTGAATTAAAAGAGGAAGGACTGCTGGTGCCTAGTTAATTGCGTTGCCACCGCCTTACGTAGCGTGAGAATTCAAGAGTAAACGGTAGTGGTTGCCGG